ATGTTTTGTTCTAATTATACAACTCTGCATGTACTTCACAGCCTTGTGTACATTGCAAACAAATATGATCCTTTTAAGGGCTGAGCTTTACATCAGGAGCCTTCTTCCAGGACATTGAGCTTGTATTTTAAAAACCTAGCTATCATATATGCTTCTTAGAGGATGCATATGATGATATCAAAAGTTATTTTAAGTAGCTGGGCAGTGGTGACACACAACATGCCTCTAATCCCAGCACTAGAGGCAGAGGCAGGCAGATCTCTGTGAGTTCAAGGCCAGCCTGACCTACAGAGTGAGTTCAAGGACAGCCAAAGCTACACAGAGAAACCCTGTCTCCAGAAAAAAGAATATTATAAGTAGCAGTTGTCCCCAATTTACAGTCGGGGAAGCTAAAAGTTCAAAGAGGCCAATAATATACTGTCGGTATATCTTATGATGAAGAGGCAGATAACGCCCAGGCTTCAGGCGTAGCATTCTATGGCAGGAAAGGGATTGGTGGGGGGCCCTGACCACAGTGGACAGTCCTGCAGAGACCCCCAGCAGCTTGGCCCTTGCTGCTAAGAGTGGTTACTTGTGTACCTGCTGTCTCCCCACATCTCCCTTTTCCGTGATTCGTAGAGCATCCCCAATGAACTATGCAAGCAAAACCCTTACCTATAGGGCCTCCTTTCAGATCTTCAGACTAAAACAACCCCAAGCACATTTCTATGCAGCATTCATGAAGCTGCAGTCACCCTGACCCTTAAACGAAGAGAGGAATGGGTCTGTAATGACCATCGCGTCCTACCATGGGCACTATGACTATGGGCTGGTGGCCCAGGAAGCTTGTTCTTGGGCTATTCCAGTCACTAGTTCCCATCCTTCTAGACAACCTATCAAATGAGAAGGCTGATTCTAATTAAAGTCATGTTGTCGATGATATAAACCTAACCCATTACTCTAGGTCCTAAGCAATTAATGCCTGTGTTCTGGAATTTCCTGTTACGGTGAGCTGAAGTACAGATTCTCTGCTCATTGGCCCTGAATTGCTCTGTCTTTCCTACCCTGGCATAACAAGCAGGTAGAACTGCTTAGTAATTGGGGAAATAAATTATAATTTATTAAACAAAAACAAATACGATGGTTATAGTGCTGAATGAGTTTTACTGTTTTTATAGTGGCTTCAATAAATCAGTAATACAGTTTAAATAGCAAAGAGTTTAAGCTTATCTACTGAGAAAGGATGAATAAAATATGAAAATAAAAGGTCACTGTTTTAAAGGGTAAATGTATCTCCCTTTTCTGTGTAGTGTCCCCCTGGCAGAATTTCTCACTTGAGCTAATTGGACAATGCAGGGAAATGTGCACAAAGAACTTCCTTGGAGGTGGAAGATGGGCAGAAGGCTGAGATTTCAATCTCATTAAAACCAAGCGTGAGCTATTTACACACCCACTGTTAAGAGAAGAGAAGCAAGGAGGCCACTCAAAGGCAGTGGGGAGTAGCGGGGATGGTTTGTTGGTACATATGCCTCAGAGGAGTTCTCATCAGAGAGGGTAAACTCTTACAGACTAGAATTTTATCAGAACTGGGAGAGAGGGTGTTCAAAGGGGTGTTAACGGCTAAAGCAGAACACGCAGTCATGCATTTAATGGTATTGACTTCGGGAAACTGAAACTATTAGCCAAGGATGAAGAGGGGCTCCTCACTGGAATGTCATCACAGAGTGGAAATGGCTCTCTATTCAGATAGCATGGCGGCTCAAGAAAGGCAGGAGCTGGGATGTGGTTGCACTTAAGTCCCTTATAATCACATCCATGCTCCTGCAGGAGGATAATACTGCCACATAGAAGCAACTGCCAGTCCCCAGGCTCTCCTAACTCTTTTCTTATTCCATTGCCTTCTGAGAAGAACAGAGAATTCAGTATTCCCCTCACTTCTCAGCATGGCCCTGGTTGCATTTTTCCTATTCGAAAACTCAAGGTTGATTCCTTTCTTCAGACTCCAGCCCCTTATCTTCAACTGCCAGCTGGGGATTGGTACCTAGGTGTCCCCAGCACAGCTTCAAACTCATTGCATCTTAAAGCAAGCTCTTGGGTGCTTGGCCAAAAGCAGTCCATATCTCTATACATCCCTTACCTAGCAACTCTGTGTTTTATTTGACTCCTTCCTTGCTCTTCATTCCCAAAGGCTTTTTTACATCACCTTTCTTAGTCAGAGTAGCTTCTCACTGCCATAACACCAGGAACATAATTGCAGCCTCCTGCTTCCGGCCTCCAGCGGCTCTGTCCACTCTGTCCCATCCAACCCCCTAGTTTATTGCTGCTTCGTGTAACCTTAATCATTCCCCTGCAACACAACCCAGCGAGTCCCTGAAGCAAGGGTTGGATTGTTGAGAGCCTTCAGAGGGTTAGATCAGATGGAAACTCCGGTTCCCAGACTCAATCCACTGAGCTCAATCTGGACTACAGGGCAATTTCTGGCCGTTAGATAAAAGCCAGAATTTCTCAGGAATGTGTGAAACAGGGTATCCTCTACCAAGTATAATCTCCCCTACCTCTGGCAGAAGAGAAATACGATTGCCTGTGTGGCCAGGCTCCTTCGGTTTCACGAGTACTTGTTACACAGTTCAAGTCCATGCTAGCATCCTAGTCTTCTTGCCTCTTCTCTTACCCTAAACCCTCTTCAGCTTGCTCTCTAGTTACTCATTAACCTAACCAAGGGCTAGTGAAGGGAGCATTCTACGGTACCAGCAACCTACTGAAGCTGTGGCATCAGTCTTGGAGGCAGCTCTGTGGACCCCTCCTCAGGCAGAAGCACATGGCTGCCCAAACCAACAGTGTAGCCCAAAGGCACAGAGTTCAGCTCTCATTTGCAGTTGTGTGTTTACTCTGATGTGGTATAGGAGGAGGCCACTTGTTGGTTCCCAGCTGCTCTCCACTTGTTCATCCCCGCTGCCCAGAACCGAAATAATCACACAGAAACTATATTATTTAAAAATCACTGCTTGGCCCATTAGCTCTAGCTTCTTATTGGCTAACTCTTACATCTTAATTTAACTCATCTCCACTAATCTGTGTATCACTACGTGGCTATGGTTTACCTGGTAAAGTTCCCAGCATCTGTCTCCAGCAACTGCTACATGGCTTCTCCTTGACTCCACCCTCTTTTCTCCCAGCATTCAGCTTAGTTTTCCCCACATAAGTTCTGCCCTGCTACAGGTCCTAAGCAGTTTCTTTATTCATTAATGGCAATCACAGCATACAGAGAGGAATCCCTCATCAGTGTGGAGAAAAAGTTGCTGTAGTTTTTAAAAGACCATCATCCTTACCAGCTCAACCCATTTAAAGGGGCATCTCATCTTTGCTCAATTAAAGTCTGCTCTAGCTGGAAAAGAAATGAAGCACTTGCTTCCGTACTGCAAAAAGAAAACTGAAACACTGCATTGAAGTTTGTTTTCATATTAAGCTTAAATATTGCTAAGATCAGACTTGAATACAAGGTTGTGATAGTAGAGGGAGTTGGATATCCCAACAGGGATCTCGTAAGGCAGGCTGATCACTGGGGTTGGACAGGTGGAAGGGTGGTATTTAAAAACACTGACTCCTGGTGTCCGTCTGATGAAAGCACTGGTATGAGCACTCTGGTTGCAGAGGGAGAAACCTGGCACAACCTTTTCAAGAGTTCAGGGAATTGTAATGAGTCCTTGTGCTATCAGCATTGTTTTAAATGTAATCTTTTGGCCTAGAGGTATGTGGAAGATGAAAGTCCAACTCCTTCTCACATGGTAGAAGTGTGATTTGAATAAGGACACCAAGTTTTATGTCAAAAAAGGTGTTTCCAGGCTATTCGTAGATTGGGTGAAGATTATGTTCTATATCCCTTATGGTTGATCTCGAGTCTTCTACATACAAAAGTGAAGGTCAATTGATTATTTATGTTATTCTTCTCTAAAGCCTTATTGGTTTCCACTGATTCTAAGGATTCTGAGTGGTTGAGATTTGTGATATCCAATGACCTCTCATCTCACACCTAAAAAGTATTTTAAGTCTAATTTTAAAAAGTCTTGGCCAGGCGGTGGTGGCGCACGCCTTTAATTCCAGCACTCGGGAGGCAGAGGCAGGCAGATCTCTGTGAGTTCGAGACCAGCCTGGTCTACAGAGCTAGTTCCAGGACAGGCTCCAAAGCCACAGAGAAACCCTGTCTCAAAAAAAAAAAAAAATCTTGTCAATCTTTTCAAGTGGATAAAGTCTAACACTAAAAAATTTTCGACTTGAGCAAACTCAAGGCACAGCCCCTTAGAAGAAATCAAAACACTGTGAATGAAGAAAAGAGACACACCTACTTTTTCACAATAGTTTGGAGGGGAGGAACCTCTTAATTCCCCTCTGATTTCTGAAAGGACAGTCCCTTTCCTGTGTGTGACTTCCACCTCTGACCAAAGAAGCTGTGATGGGAGCTGTCAGGCTGTGTGACTAGGCTGTTCAGCAGAAAAAGGCTCATGGTCACCTGTGAAGAACTCCATGTGTTCTTCCATCCCCTTATTGTGTGTTCAGTATAAGGTATTATAGAATGAACACATGCCATCGTTACTGAAAGCAGGTGAAAGTCCTGGTGTCCGGCCTTCCCTGGTTCCACAGCTAAACATTAACACATTCTGCCAGTGTCACGTGGGTATGTTCTTTTTCTTTTTTCATTATTTAAATTTATCATTTCTTGGGGCTGGAGAGATGACTTAGCGGTTAAGAGCACTGACTGTTCTTTCAGAGGTGCCAAGTTCAATTCCCAGCAACCACATGGTGGCTCACAACCATCTGTAATGAGATCCGGTGCCCTCTTCTGGCCTGCAAAGATACATATGGGCAGACCGCTGTATACATAATAAATAAATCTAAGAACAAAATAAAATAACTGTTTCTTTCATTTTATAGGTTATGATATAATTACATCATTTCCTTTCATCCTATTCTTCTCCCCCAACCCTCCCATGTAGCACCTCGTCCTCTCTTTTAAATTTATATTTTATCAATTGTTATTACATGCATATATGTATATACATATATATATATTCCTAAATATAACTTGCTCAGTCTGTATAATGTTCCTTGTATCTGTATTTTCAGAGTTGACCATTTGATACTGGGTAACCAATTTGTATGCTCTCCTTGGGGGAAGCTCCTCCTCCTCCTGTCAGCATCCCTTAGATACCAGCAGTTTTTTGCATAGGGCTGACATCTGATGGTCCATCCCTTTTTCAGTTTAGCATTCTATTGTTCTTGTCCTTGTTGTTCTTGTCCAACTCACGTTCAGGCAGTCATGCTGGCGATACTTCATGGATTTAGCTTCTGAGATTACTAGGAGACATACTCTCAGAACAAAATACCCAATCCCCTGGTTCCGATCATTCTTCCACTCCCTCTTCTACAACATCCCCTAAGGTTTGAGAGTGTTTTCTAGATATATCCGCTGGGACTGGGCTCCACAAAGCTGAAGTATGATTGTTTGTAGGGTTTTTTTTTTTTGTTTGTTTGTTTTTTTTTTTTTTTTTTTTTTTTGGTACTGGTCTCCATCAGTTGCAAAGAGAAGCTTCCTTGTTGAGAAATAAGGACCTCATTTATCTGTGAATACAAGTACCAGGAATATAGTCAGGGATTATGCTGGTTTAGTCAAGTTATGGTTAACTATAGGCTCCCCTCCAACATCCATGACTTAATTGGTCCTGGGTGGTTGGATAGGTTTCTAGGAACAGATATGTTTCCCTCTTGTTGGAGAGGTCTTAGATCTGATTAGAGACCTTTTGGTGACCACCGATGTATATGTGTTACTCTTGTATTCTTAGTTATAATGCCATACTGGTCATTGGTGTGGCTAATAGACATCATAGATAGGTAGGACTGTTGGTTAAGTCCCTCTTTTGGAAGCTTCCATGGTTCCCTCTAGTATTATGAAAGCTAGTTCTCAGGGAGGAAGCATTGGAGCCAGTTGAGGCTGTGCTTCTGAAATGCTTGGTGTCTTTGGCAATAGGGACATAACTCTGTGGGCCAACCAAGGGCAATAATAATAGCCAGCAATTTGTAGGGAATCTCTTGGGTAACTTTAGCCAACAGCTTAAAAAAAAGCATTATCATTCCTTGTATTGAGCCACCTAAGGCCAAGCAAATTGTGTTTATAGAAGCATTGAGAAATGATCTAAGACTCAGACATTTGCTTAACCCATAACTGTCTTACCTCACTTAAATACTAACTGAGAGCAAGAATATCTGAGAGCTTCTGGACCTCAAACCTCTTCCTGGGTTCCTGGGTTTGAAAGTGTTATTTTCCTTGCACTTGAGTTTCCTTTAAAGACTTCTCGGCTGTGCAGAGAACAAAGGGTTCAAAATGCCAACTCTTCCCCAGGTCTGACCTGTATGCCCTGGTGGACTGAACCACCTGGAAGCGGCAGAAAGAGTCTGTCCACTTGGGAGAATGTGACCAGCCAAATCCAGAGATGATACGGCAGGCATCCCTCTGTGAGATTCCTTCTAGACTGTGCCACCACCATCTCAGAGTCTTTGCTCATTCAATTATCAAGCACAAGCCACATTTTCTGAGGAGGCCACCAGGGACTTCTATCCTCCCCATACTAAGCACTTTTCTTCAGTCTGACCTCCATCCTTGTCGCATAAACTACAACCATTTCCTTTCCTCTGATACCTAGAAACCCAGTCAGCTTTCACAAATTCTCATCCATAAAGCAGGCAGAAAGAAGCTCTGAAGGTATAAACTTCCTGAAAGCCCTTCAGAGATTTCCCTTCATCCTAGTGACAGGCAGCTGACAGGGTTCCCTTGTCCACCCAGACAGAAGCCACGAGTATGCAAGGAGAAGCTCTTCAAGCACCTCAACAGCTTCTGCACGCTTTCATGTTTGACGGCAGCTGCAAGTGACCACTGGTAGTACTGTGATCCTCGTGAAGACCACAGATATTGGCATGCTGAGTTCTACAACTCGGCGTTCTTCTAATTCGTATGTAGGTCTATGAATAGACAGTCCCCATCCCTTGCCAGCAGCCAGAGTCACAACTCCTGCCCTGGGTTCTGAGACCCTTTGTTCTTCAGGCTTGATAGTTCTTTGGAGCTTTCTGGCCACTGGGTCCTGCATTTTCTTTCCTCTGGCTCACTACTGCCCTTCAGCCTCCTCTTCCACCCTCTCTTGTTATTCCTCTAATCTGCTGTCATTCTTCCTGCATTGCCAACTGGGAATTCCTTGACTGTTTTTTGTTTTTGTTTTTTTTTTTTTTTCAACTGTTAAGCAGCCAATGGCCATGCTGCTTTCAGTGTGGCCTTTTGACTGCCCAGCTGTATAGCCACCACTGATGCTCCATTCCCATCATTGTGCACTGCTTTTCTGGGATACTTTCTTTGCCTTACCAATTTAGACCACACTACTGAAAACAGTCAAGAAAAGACCATGTCTCCCATAGACCTTTACTGGTCCTAATGTTGTGATACCCAGGGAGGCAGCACAAGAGAATGTCTGCTAGCCCATTCACCAACTAGCTGACTTATACAGACAGACAAAGGAATGTTTTACCTTCTCATGAGTAAAGGTTCATGTTTACCGTCATCTATAGCCTTAACTCCTTAGTACTCTTCACAACAAGCTCTATGCTAAACCACTAGGCACCTTCTCCTCTCTTGCCCCAAATGGAACTGATTGCTGGGTCACCTATTTCATGAAGACTCATGAGAGCAATTTGACCAGGACAAATGAGCTACTCCTGACTGAGCTGCTCTTTCAGGAGCTGGACGTCCTGCAGTCTTCTGCTGTTGTCTCAAGACCTGTGTTCATGGTGGCTGTTGCTGATGCAAGGGTGTTCTCTGGTTGTCTGACAGTCATTTTGCTCACTGCAGCCACCTAGAAAAGTAAGAGAGTTCAATAGTCCAATTGCCCTGTCTCCCAGTGTCTTTGCTTACTTATAGTCAAAGGAATACCAAAGGGAATGTTGCGATAGTGCTTGGGGAACCTCTCCATTAACATTGCATGGTTTTTTAAAAGGCGATTAATACTTGGCAAGTGGCCCAGAGAGAGGTACCTACCCACCTCTCAAATGGTGGTACCCGTGCCACTGGGAACCTCAAAGATGCTTGAGAGGTTCACAATGACTATGTCACTTCCTGTCATGCCCACAGCTGCATGCTTCCAGATCCCTTTCTATTCTTCTAGGTAAGGAGCTACCTGTAGGTGGGCTTTACACCCATCAGACTCCTGAATCCTGCTGATTTCCACCACTAGCTAAAGGCAGTCATCTCAGTTCAGAATGCACAGAAAGCAAAATATCAAGCAAGGCTTGATTAAGATGACATTTTCAACTATTTATCTCATTCTCTTACATTTATGTCAGATAATCAGGGCTATTCTTTAGAATAGTGAGAATTTCCTTGTAAAGGAAATTTATTGAGTAAATCAACGGTGAGTCAGTTCAAAGAAGACATAAGACAGTACAGAGGCCATGGCTGCGCACGCCAGCGGTCTCTGCCACTCGGGACAGTGAAGGGAGAGAGGAGCAAGTTTGAGGTCAACTTTGGTGACTAAGGCATCACCACAAAATCAACTAAGAAGATGTATATCCAAGGTAGAGCAATTGTCAGGTTTGTGAGTGAGATTTGGGCATGCCCCCGTATCGCATTATCGGCTTTGGCAAGAACTGTGACGCTGATCCCTACAGAGTCCTGTTTGGAACCTCTGTCCCGAGACAAAAGGCCACATTATATGACATGGGACTGCAGGCATCATACATGCTACCTGCTCCCTGTCTGGCCACACTGACAAATACTTTGATCTCTGCAGACTGTCTCTTTGCAGATATGTAGGTCCCCGGTCCTCTTTGTCGGGCAACTGATTCAGAATTCTTTATATTTCAGTTCAAATTTCTTCCTCCAGAAAGTTCTGGTCTACCTGCTCCTTACATCTATTTGTTAGGCCAGTGGATGGGTTCTTTGGATTTATTATCTTTAATTTGCTACAGTTGCAGGTATCCTATAAAAGCACAATTTTAATGCATGATGGCCAACCCCAGGGAACTGAGAGACTGAAGAAAGAGGAGCAGATAGACCTGGAATTTCACAGAGATAAAAGAAAGTCCGCGGGGTGGGGTGGGAGGGCACTGAAAAAGGTGCGTGCTTATGGGTTAGAAGAAAAGTTAAGTCATCCTGTCTGGAATGTACCTAGCTCATCTTAAGCTGATATCATCGTCAGATGTGTCCCAGAAGCTGCTACTGTATTGACTTTTGCCTATTTATAGTTTGCTGGGAAACTACATGGTAAAACTGGCAGGAGTTACTTTGGGGCAATCCCCGCGATTATGATTCAAGGCGGTTCTAGTCACATCGAGGTGAACCCACATTTAGGTCGTCTCCTGCTCTATCTCTATAGACCATTCAGTCTAGTGGGGTTGAACCCCATATAAGGAAGTGATTGCAATAAGGTACAGTAACCACCATGCCAGGGGCAGTGAAGTCTACTAAGTGTCTATTTTGCTGTGTATTAGTACAAGGCACACTTAAATAGAAAGGCATCTGATGTCACCATCTTGAATATTCAACAGCACGTTGAGAGCTAGAGCGGTGCCCAGAGACCTTCCATGAAGCAGGACCCACCAGCACTCAAGGGTTATCATTTCCATTGTAAGGCTATGGCTGCCATGTTGGACTCTCTGGTTGCTAGGATTTCCTGTCCTTTGAGGCCACTGTTGTCCTGTTGAGGACTTTACAGCTTAGGGCATGGACTAGTGCCTGGGAGCGCTGTGCTGGTTGCCCTAGGCAGCCTTCTGGTAGAAGCAAATTGCATTCCCCTCCTACTAGAAAATGACTTTCATTATCTCTTCTGCAGCCCAAATGCAATTTGCAGCAATGGAATAGCATTGCGTTTCGTTCCATTATCTCATTTCTGCATATATCCACCCCGGGATGGCTGACCTCTCCTTATAAAGTAAGGTATGCTTTCGTAGCTCTATTTTATAATTGGGGAAACCAGCACTCAGAATATCCAATGTCCCACAGCTGCCTCCTGCTTGGAGTGGGGACTTGAATGTGAACACTTGGACTCTGGAGCCAATGTTTGTTTCCAGAAGGCTGTAGACCTTTAGCACTGCTTGGTATACAGCGGTCTCCATGAGGAAACATCAATGTTAGTCATTTGTGCTCCATACTACCTATGAAAATGATACCAGCTTAGGGAGGCACAGGAAATTGTTAAGATCACTCACAACAAATCCTCAATCAATTGGGGCTTCTTTGTGAACCACCATGCAGCCACACTCTGGTCTTCTGAAAGATCATGTTTGCACCATCTTGTAGGGAGAAATCTTCAGGGTTGCTACAGAAGCCATAACTAATTCCTTTCCCCTCACCAGATGCTCCTTGTGGTCGGTGACCCATCAGGCAGGTGGCTCAGATCGGGCCCTTCCTGGCATCTCCTTGTTTCTTGTTTCCACTTGGTAGATCTAGTCCAAGGAGTTGGGTGCCTGCAATCCCCAGTGTCCCAGAAGCTTGGCTTGTGTTGTTGTCTTTAGACATGGATGTAAAACTGTCTGCCAAAGACACAGCATGGTCAGGACACAAGGTTCTCTTCCTGTGGCGCACTGTGGGACTTGACTTCACTCCCCCAAATACACTTACATTTCTAGGTTTAGAGGGTGCAGGTGAGCTTCCTTGCAGTCCTTGTATTTCTCTCTCACTTTTGACATCTGTATGCTTTTTTTTCCATGTGGCCTCGCACCCTCAGTGCTGCTGAAATGTCCTGGTCCCCAGTGTCCCACTTACCATTAGCCTAAAATCTCATTCTATACTTAACCTCTTGCCGCTCTCAAGAGCTCTCTATCCCCTCAGTACCACAGCTCCCAGGGCAGAAACACCAGACTGAGAAACAGAGCATGTGCCTTAGAGTGGGCCGGTCCAGCTTCAAACTTCTACTCCTCCAGTTTTGAGGATATCCTGAAGAGGTTTTCATTGCTTTGAGCATCTCTGCTCAGGGGGGATCTGAGTGCCGTGGGACAGGGATGTTCCATCAGTGACATGGAAAAGGGATAGACACTCTACATGGTGCCACAACAGACACAGTTGCTTCTGCACAGTTTGCCACAAATAGGATTTACCCCTGTGAACTTCAAGAAGCAGTCCCTTGGGTACCTGCCATGTATTTACCATATTTAGCCTCAGCTTCTCTGGTGGTTTTGTCTTTGGACCAAAGGGAGTGACTGGAGAATGTGAAGAGGGAGGAAAGAGTAAAGATTGAAGCCAGCAAGGCTTCTCCTTGTCATTCCCACCCCTGTTTCTTTCTCCTCATATTTATCTGCATCTACTTCCGACCTGATGCTCACAGACTGTTGGCCCTGGAAGACAGACAGACAGACACCGCTTCTACTAGCAGTTACCACAGCAGCATCTTCCACAGTGCTTGGCACATGAATGAATAAACCTGGAGACCATGATGGTCTACTAAATCTGTGGGAGGCGACAGATACACCATCGCATTTCTGCAGAGCAAGGCCCGCGCTCTGTGCTTTTATAGCTCCTCCAGCATGCTAATAATAAAGGTTCTGTGTGTGCTACTTAGAACAATGAATGAATAAATAACTCTCTTCTGGAACGCCAGGCAAAAGCCCCTGCCCTTTCCCTGCTCTGCATCTCCATGTCTGGTGCTCCAGCCCCCACGGGCTTCCTCTGGGTAGCTTACTCGTGTTTAAAAATGAAGATGACACCCTGCCTTAGAAACAGTCTAGTCTCCCGCTGCTATTTTTAAAAGGGTCAAGTGCAATTGTGGGTACAGATCTTTGTGAGCAACAGCGGGACTTTATTGTTTGTTGTGCTGTGGAATGATTCCAGCATTTATGGTTCATTTCTCCCCTTTCTCTCCTCATTGGGTTTCCTTCTCCCAAGCTAGATAATGTCCTGCCATGATCAGAAGAAAATAGCACTTAAGCTGTAGGCAGGTGTGTGCCTAAGGAGTGTGGCAAGCTCGCTCTCTCTCTCTCTCTAGGCTCATCCATGCAATGAATGTAAAACTAGCCCGTCTGAACAGGGTTGAATAGTTCATTACATGTATGTGTTTATTTTATGCATGTGTGGTATACCCATGTGCTTGTGTACATGTGTGTGCATGTGTCAATAGACATGTAGGCCATTTCCTTGTTTGGATGTTCTACAATGAACATAGCAGGGCAGGTGTCTTCTAGACATACTGATGTCTCCTTTCCTCTGGGTGTATGTTCACCAGTTGGATTACATGGTAGGTCTATTTTTATTTTTCTAGAAGTATTAAAACTGCCATAAGAAAGCAGGTTGAGCAAGCCATGAGGAACAAGCCAGTAGGCAGCACTCCTCCATGGTCTCTGCATAATCTCCTGCCACCAGGTTCCCACCCAGTTAGAGCTCCTGTTTTGACTTCTCGCAGTGGACTGTGACTCACGATGTACGCCAAATAAACCCTTCTCTCTCCAAGTTGCTTTGGTCATGATGTTTCATCACAGCAGCAATAACTCTAACCAAGACAAACCCTACAAAGGGAAACACATCAACTTCTAAAAGATTGGTCATCACGGGCCAAAGCCTGAGTTCATTCTCTTGTTTAGGGTCTTTCCTTTCCAAGTGAGAATAGGTATTGGTAAACAATTGGGTCACCTCCCAAGAGCACATCCCTGGTTCTCAGCATTCCTGGTGGTTTCTATCACGAGTGTTGCAAGAGGGGCCTGCTTGTTCATTTTGGCCACCCAGCTAGCTTAGCCCTGAAATAACCACACAGAAACTGTATTAACTAAATCACTGCTTGGCCCATTAACTCTAGTTTCTTACTGGCTAATTTTTACATCTTAATTTAACCCATTTCTATTAATCTGTGTATTGCCACATGGCAGTGGCTTACCAGCTAAGTTTCGGCAGCATGTCTTACCCTGGCGGCAGATCCATGGTGTCTCTCTCACTCTGCTTTCTTCCTCCCAGAATTCAGTCCCGTCTTCCCCTTCTACCTAAGTTCTGTCCTATCAAATCAAGGCAGTTTCTTTATTCATTAACCATTACAACCAACACATAGAAAGAAGGACATCCTAGGCTTCATCATGTGTGTGTGTGTGTGTGTGTGTGTGTGTGTGTGTGTGTATGTGTTAGATGCAGCAGAGATCCAACTTAAAGAGTCTGTTCCTCCATGACATAGGCAGCTGGCAATGGAATGACCAAACAGTAGACATGAAGGTGCAAAGAGTAACTAGGGTGACCCACTGTGGAGAAAGGACTTCTGGGTTTTCTCTGAGGAAACTTTGTGTTCTGAATTGGTGATGAGAAGGCTTTCATCCCAGGGAAGGGGAGAACCCTGGGAGACAATAAGCAAGGGTGAATGTTGCCCTTATTGAGGAAGCAAGTCAGCCACTGTGGCTGAGGGGAAAAGAACAGTGATTGCATCCTAGGGAATCCAAGATGGCACCACACCCAACATGCCGAGGTGGGAGTTGAGGATCTTGAAGCTCATACCACAACTTGACCTTTATTTCAGTCGATGCTTCAAAAATCTTTGAACTGGGAGTAGAGGCAAAAGTGGGAGCAAAAAGGATCTCTGGGAAGCCCTTGCATCCAGCAGTGGACAGGCCTGGGCCATGTCTTATTAGTGACAATGGGATAATGAGCAAGACATCCTTACCCCAACCTAGACCACTCATAATACATGCTTTACCTCTCTGTTCCTGGGGACCCATCAGATCTAGAGTCCCCAAAGGCCTTTCACAACATCCATACAAATTTCCCCCAGTTCCTCCCATTCCTCTCTGTATTACACTTCAAGCCATTGTGGCAATCGGCATTAAAGTGGAGTTATTAAATCACACTGTCTCTCTGACTGGAGATGGATGCAGCTGAGTGTCTTTTGCTATTATTTTAGATGCAGAAGTCACTGAGTAAGAGTCACTTCCCCTGAATTAAAATAACTGAGATAAAGAGTAGAGTATTCCAGCCATTGAGCTTGGAGAAGCTCTCCTAGCTCTGATGACCACAGCGATATTGATCCAAGCTTCCACTTACTATACATGTAGATTGGATGCTTGCTGGGCACCTTATAAAGTCTAGCCACACAGTACAGTTAGGCAGCAAGCTTGCTGTCTTTCTCATTTAATGATTATTCCCTGACATTTAGAAGCTGGAAATCATGAAGGCTTGAAGTACACTACACAGCTTATGAGCTTAGGGTCCTCCAGAGGGTGGCTACACTTAAGGGGAACTTAAGTGCTAGCCTGTACTCTTGGAAAGATTGCTCCTATGGCAAGGGCATCTTTTCGCTTATGTGTAAGATCAGGAATAAGGAGACATTAGAAAACTAAGTAGAACACTCGGTGAGAACTCATTGACTGGTAGGCGGGAATCTCTGGCTCCTACAGTAGAGGGGAGGGGCTGGATCTAAAACATGATTATCAGGCACCAACTGCAATAACTGGTGACAAACTAGGGGCAGTGAGTTATTGAAATCAGGTGAGTAGATGTTATTCCATTGATCAACTTCATGGAAGAAGTGAAACTTGCAGAAGAAAATATCTGTAGATTATATAGTTTGATACATTGACACCAAGAGTCTGGGAGGCCCATAGTCTGTAAAACCCTGACTTTGTCCCCATGATGTCAACCCATTAAGGAATCATTTGAACCCAGGAATAAGGTTGCACCTGCATGGTAGGAAGTACTAGCATGCAGGAGGCAGTCCTACCTGCACTGGGACACAGGAAAATAAGAGGTCTCGCATACACGCATATTCAAAGAACTGTAAGACTACTTAGATGAGAGCCACACCCACCCACCGCTGATGGTGCAGTTTTCTGACTGACATCACAGTAACTCAGAGCACAGCCGCTCCAAGGCACATGGCTACAAGCATCCATGATTCCTACAAGACAGAGTCCCTTATTGTAGACCTCTGTTAGTTTCTTGGCCATTCAACATGTGTACAATTATGGTACTTCTTTATTGAGTGTCTCCTTTTTCTGTTTGGTGTTGTGTTGTGGAATATTCGTTTAAGATGTGTTATATTTGTTTATGATGTGGAGTATTTGTTTAATGATGCCAAGTTGTATTGTTCTTTTATGATGCATTTGTTTAACTCTGTGTTACTTTGCCTGTCTATAACACCTGATTGGTCTAATAAAGAGCTGAATGGCCAATAGCAAAGCAAGAGAAAGAACAGGTGGGGCTTGCTGGCAGAGAGAATAAATAAGAAAAATTAGGCTGGAAAGAAGAAGGGTAAAAAGCGAGAAAAGGGAAAGAGGAGGATGCCAGGAGCTAGCCACACAGCTAGCCATGAAGTAAGAAGGAGCAAACAATATATACAGTAAAGAAAGGTAAAAAACCCAGAGAGAGAATGTAGTTAAAGAGAAAGAGGATAATTTATGTTAGGAAGTCTGACTAGAAAGAAGCCAACCTAAGGTCAGGCATTCATATGTATGAAAACATCTCCATGTATTTATTTGGGTTCTTGGTGGCGGATGCCCAAATAGAGAGTGAGAGAGAGAGAGGGAGAGAGAGAGAGAGAGAGAGAGAGAGAGAGAGAGAGAGAGAGAGAACTATAGTAAAAAGACTTAGTAATTTGTAAAGAATAATTTATCATACTTCTATAAGACCAAGCCACCTGCAGTGAGGATCTCCTTCCTCATGAACAGCCACAATCTCTTTGCGACCTCACCATGTCCTACCCTTATGATCTAGTTTCCTCTTGATGCCCTCCCCTCCCAGAGCCTCCACCTCAGCGGTTAGGTTTCAGGTCGTGTACATGGAGCAGGCAAATTCAGTCAATGGCAGCTATTGATGGGGCTGGGGATTGACTTCTCTTTTGTGACTTTTTCACACTGTCAGACCGCCTCTGTCTTTTTATAGCAGAATTTACAGTGGTTTATTGGTTGATTGGGGAGTGTGGTTCATAGACTTTTGAAAGATGAGCAAGTTGGTGGTATCAAGGTCATGAAAATAGTTGAGAGTTGTTAGAATGAACTTGTGCAGAAAGGAGAGCACTGAGGGCAGGCCCTGACACACAGCGCCTGCATAGATAAAGAGCCACAGAGATGAGCCAGAGAGCCAAGTGACAGGAAGAATTTAGAAACCATAGAGGAAGGACATTTCTAGAAAGGAAGTGTGGTTATAAATTGTAAAGATCAGTATGGCAACCTTTCTAGTTGGGCTTTCTTGGACGCAACAGCCCACAAATAATGACAGAAAGACTTATTCATTATGGAAGTTTGGCCTTAATTTAGGCTTTTTCCCCAAGTAGCTCATAATTCAAATTAAACTGCTTCTAATAATTCATATTCTGCCACCTGGCTTGGTTACTTCTTCTTAGTATGGCATATCTAACTTTCTCCAAGTCTGCTGGTAAAATTGCAAGTCAAGATTGCTCATCCCAGTTTCTCTCTATTGTTCTCTTTTTCTCTCTCCCCGGAAATCTCACCTATTCTCTCCTGCCTAGCTATTGGACAGTTAGCTCTTTATTAAAGCAATCAGAACATATTTTAAGCAGAGTCATAACTTTACCGTGTAAACAAATTTCTCCTCAACAGGTTATATGTAATCTGTTGGTCAAAAAGAATGACGTTAAGAAATAGGCATGAAAGTCTGTTATTTGATGATTGCTCTTTCTGTTGAAAGTACAACTAGGTGAGAAGACCCTTTAAATCGCCTAAAAAGCGAATATCAGTGCCATCTCATGCTAAATTCAGTGATACAGAACTATGAAAGGATCTTATTTAAACCCCAGGAAAATTGTAATTGGAGAGAAGGTGATAGGAGAGAACTCCATTGTATTGGGACTGCGAAGATGCCACTCTCAATTTCCACAGTAAGACGTTTCATGTTCTTAAACAAGTCTAGATACTGATCTCTAAAACAGTGTTTGTTATATAGCACATCTGTTATATAGATTGTATATAATCTTTCAACTGTATAATTTCTCCATCTCGCCAGAGAATTTATTGCTTTGCCATTTTTACAAGGGATTACTTGGCATACTTAGCGGGATACCCATTTCTGTATAAGCCAAGCAATTTGGATCACAGTGCCAAAATAAAACTTCACCTACTTGGCAATAATATCATCTAATTTCTGGCAAAGTACTGGGTTAAAAGCATAAAGAACTGTTAGTAATGTAGGTAGACACAGAAAATAAGACCCTAAATCTTATTGTTTATAAACTATTGACTGAAAACCTAATCTTTTATGAATGAACTGTTATTGTAATATAGCCTTGTCAGTGTCTATGGTGACTCTTGAAATATAATGGTATATTTGTGACAGAGACCCCACTGTGCAAAATTCTTAATATATTTCTCATCTGTGTGGGCCTGTAGAGAAACAAGTCTTCCAATGCCTCTTGTAGAGAAAAGAGAATGCAGAAGATGGCTGTAAAGATGCCCACACAGGTCCCAAGAGAGGACATGTTTACCACTCCTGGTCATAAGATCCTCATTTAGATTCAAGGTCAAGATCACTTATTCAGAAACTTTCAGGAAGACGAGAGAATCCAGAATGGCCAGCACCCATATACAAGAGACAGTAAGAGAGTTATTTTTGAACAAATACGGTATTTGCTATTTCAGAAAAATCTTCAAGATATTAATAAATACTGAACTTTCCTGTGGTTTTGTAAATTTGCCCCATGTTTTTTTGATGTCCTCATTTGAACTGCACATGGTATGTGTGGGAAGACAGAGGCAACTTCTTCCCCTTGGTGAGCAGGGGTCTCTGAGGTCCCAGATCAGTGTAGGAAGAATGAGTGTGGAAGTGGACGGTAGACAGCAGCCAGGAGCTAATGGCACAGCCTGTGCCTGTGATGCTTTTCTGCTTCTCTTTCTCTTTCCGAGCTAGAGTTGTCTATGTCACACCTCACAAACCCATTCTTGTTTCCTTGATGCCATTTTTGGTGTTGATTTCAAACCCACTGTCTCAACAGGGCTTCTCAACTGTAAGTTGGACACTTACTCAACTGTCCAGTTGGGAATTCATAGAGCGGTCTTAGAACAGTGGCACATATTTAAGCATTCTGGGAGTCCTAGCTGACATCTGCAGTCCCCTCAGAATCTAAGCCGAGGCAGGAAACCAGGAATGGCATGTTTTCCACTGAGCATGAATTGGGATTCTCTCTCTCTCAATAGCAGGAACTTGAGGTTAGACTGTACACCATTGTCTTATATACCCAAAATGTCCTTTCTAAGGAACAGCAACAAAGACAAGAAGTAAAATAACCACTGTCCAGTCCTGGGCAGTGCCAGCATCATCTTGAGGTGGGAGGTCCTTCTGTCTACATGTTGCTTTATTGGTTAATGAATAAAGAACTGCTTTGAGGCCATGGCTCAAAGCATTAGTGCAACTGTGTTCAAGTGTCTTGACATTCTACAGAACCCCAAAATCGAGGCTTAGAATAACCAGACTTACTTAGTCAAGGTATAACTAGTGAAGGCCTCTAGCATCACTGAGAGACTATATTTGATTTCTTTAGCTTCAATATTAAGGCCAACTTAACTTCCAGTAGGTAGCTGACAAGGTAAGAACAGAGTAGAGGTGGGGACAGACCACTGATATCCGCTAGGTAGAGGCGGGGGGATCCTGTTAAATACGCTACAAGTCAGAACACTGCTAAAAAATTTTGACCTCAATGGTAGATATGCTGAGTTTGGGAAGCTCTGTGTAAGATCGTGTTTCTTCAGAGACATAAATAAAAAAAAAATAAATGAAAAATATGAAAATGCAAATAGGATTTCTGAGGGACCTGCTGGAATGGCTTCATTTAATTATTATCCCAAGTTTGTAATAAAACAAACTCTTCTCATCTTTAGATCAGGTGTTTTATCCTCTTGCTCGAGCCCCTCCATAGCTCCCTGAGACTTGTTAAAATGGCTCTTTGCAAGGGTTTTGGAGCATCTCAAGGGGAAGGTGCTAATTGGGATTACAAATGCTGTATACGTGTTGCCTTGCGTTAGACGAATTTCCTTAGAACAAATCCAGCACGCCTGCCATATGATGTTCAAGGCCACCATGAATAACCTTGGGCCAAGTAGCAGCACTTTGAGAGAGTGCTTGGAGGATTAAAAATGGCTATAATGTTGACCCATGAGTCTTTGAGATTGGTAAACATGAGAAAAGACCCCAAGTCCCCTCACAGGACGAAGGCACATCCTCACTCCTCTTCTTGTGAACATGGTTACTGCAGTCTCTGGTTGGTGGCAAACAGTGTATGGGGTAAGAGCTACTCACTGGTGTGATCATGATGTATGCACGTCCTACTCTATGGAGCAGGCAAAGGCCAAGGCTGCCTACTTTCCCTTGGTATGAACCAATTCTGTGCCACACCTAATATTCCGGGATGGAGGGCACCACTTAAGATTGCATCTTTACTTAGATTCCTTCCTTGTCCTGATTCTGCTTCCAGGGTTTCCCTTCTGAAAGCAACCCCTAACCACCTACTCCCAGGGTGTCTGCTGTGGACTCTGAGTCTATGAAAACTGACTCAGACATGCTCAGAGTCCAGATACCATGGCTACACATATACTTGTGTGCCCATACAAAGGTCCTCGTATCTCACCTCCATCTCTATGGTAGATCCAGTGAGCAAGAGGAGGAACAGGAACAATTGGAGCTCAGGGAACTGCAGAAAGAGGTGACATCATGTTCTTGATGAGCCAACGGAGTGTGATGAACCCTGATCTGCACAAACTTCTCCCAGGAAAGTGAAATTTGTCTCATTGGCCTGAAGCCAGAGCTCCAGGCAAGTACACTGCTGTCAGACTCCAAGCTTGTATTACAGTTAATGCAAAGGAATTTTCCCTACTTCACCTTTCCCACTTAGTTTACACATTTAATATCACCAGTACAAAATAGTCGGTGAATTTTGTCTTATTAATTTTATCTTATTAAAAGTTTGCATTATTAAAAGATCATTCATTGTATCTTACATGAATAAAAATAGTTGGAGATGCTTCATTGTGTCCATGACTCATCAAGTACCTGAGAAATACCTTGATTTATCAGTCATGCTCAATCCACAAAGATAGATGTGAGTCCCTTTTAAGCATCGTCTTGCAGTCTTTAGTGAATTTAGCATGGTTTTGGAAGACTAGGATTTTTAAGTGCATAGGCTTCAAGTTCAAGGGTTATTTGGGTTTTCTCTGGGCCCTGAACACATTCCAGACTTACACATTGTAGACATAATTGCTTCGAAAGTGAAGATAGACCATCTCGTCTCCATCCTGGGAGTTCTTCTTAGAACTAAACATAAAGGAGCAACCAATGTCCCTGTCCCTTCAACACTTCCTTTCCAATGAATATATTAGACTTACATACTGACAGCAAGTATTCATACATTTAATTCCCTGACAGCAAGTATTCATACATGAGAGGAGTTGAGAATTGGAATATTCCTCCCCCTCAAAGAGGAGGACACATTTTAGTTAAGATATGAGCTGATGATGTTTCTTGGATGCTGTCAGATTGAAATGAGTGAAGGTACAAGACTCAGGTGTTCAAAAGAGCTTTCAAGTTGGAATCGACTAGCTCTGTGTCCTAGAGTTTGAAACAGGATTGATTGGCAGGTCTTGGACACTCTGGTCAGTCAATGGAACGTGGAGAGCAATCAGGGTAGAAAGTATTTTCTTACACCCTGACTCGGGGTTCAGAAATGTCTTAGGCTAATCACCTTGACAACTTCTCAGAGTAGGGAAAAGTTTCCTTTATCTCCAGATATCCAGTGCCTGCAGCATCCCACTCCAAATCCATCCCACACTTGATCTTGGTGCGTTGGGAGATGACGATGGTCCCACTGGATAACTAAGAAAGGAAGTACAGCAATCATAGCTGCTGAGTAGAAAGGAGACAGGATAGGTCTGTGAGATTAAATAGAGAAGCCCAGAACGTAGCTTAGTTGGTGGTGTGTCCTCCTGCTGTGCATAAAGCCCTGAGTTTGATCACAAGCATCCCTCAAACTAGAGATGGTAGCACAAGATACACAGTCCCAAAGCTCAGGCTCAGAAGCAGGAGGATCAGAAGCCCTGGGTCATCCTTTGCTGGAGAGGGAGTCTTGAACAAGCCTAAAATACAAATGATTCTGAGAGAGGGGATGCAAGGCAGAAATATCAATGTGACCCTTCAAGCTCAGAAAGGGTGGGATGGTAGGAGCTTTGTGAGATGGGAGACAGCTGGCGTGGTGGCACAGTTTGAAAGTGGAGCTGTTAGTGTGTGCTGACCCTGGACATGAATTGTTGGGAGTGGGAATGAAAGGAAAAGGTCACGGAAAACATTGAGGTCTACTGTTATGACTGTTGATTTTGTTCATAAGAACATGTTACACAAATGTAAGAGTTATTGTGTCCTTTTCTTGTGTGCCTTGAGAGAGAGCATGTGGGAGGGAGAATGTGTGTTCACCTGGGTAAGCTTTGACACTTAAAAGTGGCACTGCCAAACTGGGTGCTATTTTGTATATGGCAGGATTTTGTATCACAATAGTCTCAACCTGAGAGGTACAAACAGGGCCCATTCTTCCCTGCTATAACATCAAAGATGGCCTCTAGTTATTATCCAGGGTTCCCTGGGGAGGTGAGATTGCTACCAGTTGGAAACCATTACTCCGAATCAAAGTTGTCACAGTGGCTGTGTTGGCTAATTTTATGTTGGCTTCGCATAACGTAGAGTCATCTGGGAAGAAGAACCTCAATGGAGACAGTGCCTCCATCAGGTTGGCTTGTAGTAAGCCTGTAGTGCATTTTCTTGATTAATGATGGATGTGGGAGGGCACAGCTCACTGCAGACAGTGCCACCCCTAGACAGATGGTCCTGGGTGATATAAGAAAGGTTAGGCAAGCTGTGCAGAGCAAGCCAGGAAGCGGTATTCCTCCATGACTTCCGCTTCAGCTCCTGCTCCCAGGTTCCTGCCTTGAATTCCTGATTTCACTCAGCGTTGGCTAGTTACTTGTAGGTTGTAAGAAAGAAAAAAAAAATAAACCCTTTCCTCTCCAAGTTGTTTTTGTCCATGGTGCTTTCTCACAGCAAAGGAGAAGTCTAACTAAACAGTGGCTGTGGTGCTTGGGCAAACCATCAAACCTCTTAGCTTCTTGAGTGCTGGTCATGAATGGAAGCTTCTGTTAGCCTAAAGTGGAAACAATAAATCAAGTATCAAAGACTGTCTTCATGAGTAATTACTACTACTGAATTTCAACTGGTCATGCTTAAACAATAAAAACAAACAAAAAGCGCACTGTGAATATTAACATAAAGTTAGTTTTTCTTCTGGGAATGAAACATGATAACCCTAAAGCCATAGGACCGATTTTTCCCAATCTTTGACAAGAATTTGAATAAGTGCAGTGTGCTACCAGGTTCTCTGAGGCTCTAGATGAGCGTTTGAGCTTTTCTGCTTTCTGAAGGTAGTAGAAGATGCAGCACAGCTCCTGCTGTCCTGCGTGGTCCTCTGAGGGCCATTGTTTTATTGGGCAATTTGGCTCTGTGGAGTTAGGCTTTCAGCCGTCAGCATGAAGCTGTCACTTCTAGGAATGGCGTGGCTGCGCCACATCAGTTCCTTCCCACAACCAGCGCCGTCCACATATGCAGATCCCAGGGTCACAGTGTCATCACAGCAGGCAGATCTGTGAGCTCACATCATTTCCAAGTAGTCTTTGAAGCCACTTCCTCTAGATCCTTGCATGGTCTTCTTCCCCATCGCTAAGGTGAGGTTGAGGCTCTTCATCACAGTCGCGTGCTCTGAGGCTGACAGAGTGCCCCTTCCCACCTCCAAGCAGAATGGAGGCTGGACTGAAGCCTCATGCTCTTCTCTCAAGTTGAGCTTTACCATCAGACACAGATGATGTAGGCCAAAACACAGTTACAAGCAGATTATTATGATGTATTTAGAAAATCATGGAAAAATAGCAAGCCAAAGGAAGTTCCGTGTTTTGGTGTACAGGTTATAAGATGACTAATTTCTCTTTCTCTCTCCTTTTCTCTGTCTCCCCTCTCTCCCTCCCTCTCCCATCATCCCTCCCTCCACTTCTCTATATCTCCCTTCCTCCCTCTGTGTGTGTACACACACATGAGTGTGTGTATGTGTGCACATTCTATTTCAATGACCTATATTAAATACAGTTTCTACTTTATTAAATCTCTAGATGTTTTTTATTAAATGAAAAAGCTAAATCAATTTTCTATATTTATTCTTGCATTCTAGCTTCTGCCAGAACCTTTTACGGAAGGGAGAATCTGCTAGCATGGGCCTTCCACTCTGGGGCTTTCCTGAGTTCTATGAGGCCAGGGATTTCCTTCTTGGTCTTATTCAGCAAACGGTATTTGATGCTAAATCCTGAATTGATCTGCGACATTGATTGCTTTCAATTAAGTACTAATATATACAGAACAGTCCCTAGAGGCCTGGCTCTGGAGCCTTTGAGACAAGCAACCTTGAAATGACCTTCATTACTCCAGTGTCCAATAAGCAATGGAGCCTTAGGAAGAGAGCAGAGACCCACACTTCATCGAGCTTATTTGACCAGGAAGAGCTCTCTCCGTTAAGGTGACTTCACAAGCAAATAGAATACATCTGTAGCTTAAAGCAGGTAAACCACAGCAGACTTTAGCATCTGTTGTGTCGAGTTCCTAGAAGCTCTAAGTCCTTCATTGGTCAAAGTAAAGGCAAAAAAAAATTTCCATTTGCGATTTTAGTCAACAGACATGGAAATTGTTTACAGTTTTGTGAAGCTTGATGACAGGTGTAAAAAGAAACGCGGAGGTTGACAGGTGATGGTGTCCACCCTTCAGACATCCCTGCTGCCGGGAGGGCTACCTGCCGTGTGACTAGTTCCCACAGTAGGATATGCATGCTGTGCCGTAAGTGACAACATCAAGTGTCTTTTGCTTTAGAGAGAGTGGTCAGGTACTGTGGAATAATGAAATAAAGAACACTTATTCTACTGACAGACAGAACAGTACATTGAAATCAGAGCATGCTTCCAGCGGTGCTAAAGCCAGGACTCCCCGCTCTAAGTGCCTTCAGCTGGAACTTGAGATCTGGTTAGAATGCACATCCCATATAGTGCTGTGGGGTGACATTCAAGATTGTGCCGCTTTGAGGAGTTGTAGACATTGACACAGTTGGTCCACTGACAACATTCAGAGTAGCAAAACCTTTCAAATAAGTCTCTGTACTAGTTTACGCAGCCAAAGCCCAGCTGTGGGTCATTACCACATAGCTGGGATAGCTCAAACAACGGCCCAAAGGATCTGGGCCATTTCTTTCCTTTCAGTCGTCTGTCCTTGATCTACTGAATTTTGTCTTCTGGATTTCACCTCCTGATCTTCAGATAGTTACAGTGATACTAGCTGTAAGAAATACTCATGGCAAGACCGTGACCAGAAGGTATGTTGCTCCTCTAGCATTCTTTTACAGGGAGAAACCTTTGACTAGAAACATCCTTGTCCACGCCTGGGTGCTCACTGAGTGTAAGCCTATCTGACGCATGTTCTTCCATGGCAAATCAAGGAGGAGAGTAGACTTTCAGCATACAGAAGATACAGGCTATTTGGAAAGAATGTTGGGTTAGATAATGGTTTTTGGATCTGCAACAAGCTGTGTCAGCTACATTGGAACTATGCTGACACGGAAATCTTGAACGATGAGAATGAACTCTCTAACTTAACGCATGCCCGTGTGGCTAAGGTCAGACTCCTTTCCTGATCTCAAAACTATCTCCCTGCATTTTTTCGTGCCTCACCAAGCCCCAGTTGGAACTGTTGGAACACCGACTTCTCACTTTGAATCTCTGGGAGTGTGTTAGCCACTTTTCTGGGGGCTCTTTGGTCTTGATAAAATACCTGAGAAAGAGACCTGGAAGAAGGAATGGTGTGTGCTGTATTACAGTTTACCTTCATGGGAAAGAGCATAGAGATAAGAGCTGGAGGCAGGGGGCTGGAGAGATGGCTCAGTGGTTAAGAGCATTGTCTGCTCTTCCAAAGGTCCTGAGTTCGATTCCCAGCAACCACATGGTGGCTCACAACCATCTGTAATGGGGTCTGGTGCCCTCTTCTGGCCTGCAGGCATACACACAGATGGAATATTGTATACATAATAAATAAATATTTATAAAAAAATTTATTTATAAAAAAAAGAGCTGGAGGTAGCTCACCACCTTGTGTCCACATCGAGGAGGGAGAGAGAGATAAATGCTTGTGTTAAACTCACTTCTCTTTTATTCAGTCCAGGACCCCAGTCCATGAGATGGTGCTATCAACATTTAGGGTGCTATTCACATTTAGGGTGCTATCCACATTTAGATTTCCAACTTACCCTACGTTGGAAATCTAGGAGATTCTAGATCCTATCAGGTTGACAGTCAAGATTGACCGCATGAGATTGACAAGACAGCTCTGGATAAAGCCACTTGACACACAAGACCGAGTTTGACTCCTGGAACCCGTGTGCAAATAGAAGAAAAGAACCGACTCCACAAGGCTGTCCTCTGACCCTGATACATGAGCTGTGGCACACACACGTGCCCACACACTAAGAACAATAAATTTCTTAAAAATATTTCCTATTGCAGGTGAGTTCTCAAGAGCCTCACCATCTCTATCCCTTAATAGACACCTTCCATCTAT